CTGGGTCACCATCCTGACGTGTGGTACGAGGCAGCACAGTACCTGGAGCAGTCCAGCAAACTGCTGGCAGAGAAGGGGGTAAGAAATCCCCCTCCCTTCAGACTTAGACTATAAGATACATTTTCAGAAATCTGTCAGGCATTTTTTACAGAGATTCCTTATTTTCTGCTCCCAGGACATGAATAACTCCAAGCTGTTCAGCGACGAGGCCGCCAACATCTACGAACGTGCCATCGGTACTCTCTTAAAGAAAAACATGCTTTTATACTTTTCCTTTGCTGACTATGAAGAAGTGAGTGTCCACCTGCTTTACCGAACACAAACTAAAAAAATCAACAAAGTATGAGGGACAGAGGGACTCATCAGCAACACGTTTTCTTTTGACTTCCCCCGTAGAGTCGCATGAAGTACGAGAAGGTGCACAGCATCTACAACAAACTGCTCGCCATCGAGGACATCGACCCCACGCTGGTCTACATTCAGTACATGAAGTTTGCCAGGAGGGCCGAGGGAATCAAATCGGGACGCACCATCTTCAAAAAGGCCCGAGAGGATCTGCGCACACGTCACCATGTGTACGTGACCGCAGCGCTCATGGAGTACTACTGCAGCAAGGTGACTTATCACTTGTTTAGTGTGTAAACTGTGACAGTAATCCACCCTGCACACCGCTTTCTTTACATCTAAATACTTGTTTTTCTCTACAGGATAAGTCGGTGGCCTTCAAGATCTTTGAGCTTGGTTTGAAGAAGTACGGCGACATTCCAGAGTACATACTGGCATACATTGATTACCTCTCACATCTTAACGGTAGGTTACGTGTGATACAATGCGAGGCTAATACACAGAATGAAAGATATATGATCCAACCATCATCAATGAATTTATTAAAACATTCTGCACCATTGAAAGATTTCCCTTCAGTTACTGTCTGAGTAACATTGAAGCTCATCGTTTGTCACCATGTTTTTATTTATTCTTCTCCGCTGCTTCTCTCACCAGAGGACAATAACACAAGAGTCCTGTTCGAGCGCGTCCTCACCTCAGGAAGCTTGTCACCAGAGAAGTCAGGGTAATGCCACGTGCTTGATTATTCTCCGTGCATGTACTATGTTAAGTGATGTAATGATAAGATGTCTAGGATGTTGTTAGCTAATTGCTGCTGTTCTTTCCTTCTCCAGGGAGATCTGGGCTCGGTTTTTGGCTTTTGAGAGCAACATAGGAGACCTGGCTAGTATTCTGAAAGTTGAGCGAAGACGGTTCTCTGCCTTCAAAGACGAGTATGAGGGCAAAGAGACGGCCCTGCTCGTAGATAGATACAAGTTTATGGATCTCTATCCCTGCTCAGCTAGTGAACTCAAGGCCCTCGGATACAAGGTGGGTGATTAACTCTTTGTGATTTGTTGAAATTGTTGTCTGTTGGTGCTCACATCAAGCACGTTTGGCTTTTCTCTTGTGTTATATTTGAACTCTCTCTGCTGCGTGTTTGTAGGATGTGTCTCGCTCCAAACTGGCACAGCTTCTTCCAGAAACGGTGGTGACTCCTTCTGCGCCTACACTGAAGGATGAAGCAGACCGCAAACCTGAGTACCCGAAACCTGACACCAACCAGATGATCCCCTTCCAGCCACGTCACCTCGCCCGTATGTAGTCCTTAGCTTCCCCCGACTTTCCCTTAAAGAGGACAAATTTGACCCCTTTTCTACCTTTTCAAACAGTCCCCCTGTGATCTAAATGAAACATCTGTGCTGTGCTTTGGTCAAAATATAACATGAATCAAGCACCAGAGGAGGTTTGTGACCCTGTATAAAGCAGCTCTCTCAGAACGCTCCGTTTTGATGTGTGTGTCTCTTTAAATGCAATGAGACCCCCCCAGAGTTTTCCCGGTAGACATCACTCCTCTGTAGAGAGAATAAAAATGGTGGACCTGAGTTTTTGCTCTAGACTGAGGCTGGAGTGCATGGGTGGAGATATCAGGGGAGGGGAGGGGATTTTTTTTTTTACCAGAATCAGAACCAGCAAATTTGAATCAGAGCATTTTTCTCTGTGTTGTAAGACTTATGCAGACCACAAACAAAGGACTGGATGGATTTATTTCACATTTTGTGGGTCAGTAGACACTCAGGTTACCCAAATATGTGTTCAAAAACACTGAAAGTGGATTTTTTTTTAATCCACTGAAGTCAGCTGAATGTGCTAAGAAATCAGGGAAACTCCAAGGTTAAAATAAATACTTTCCAAGGCAGCTTTGCGGTTGCTTGTCTGCACTGACCTCTTCTATATGAATGAAACTATCCCTCTTTGATGTAGCCTCTCATGTTCCCTTCCCACAGCTCCAGGTCTACACCCTGTCCCTGGTGGAGTTTTCCCTGTCCCTCCAGCTGCTGTTGTCCTAATGAAGCTGCTCCCTCCGCCTACGTGCTTCACTGTGAGTAGCAGCAGCTTAACACTATTATGCTCTTATTTACTGATAATGCATCCAAGAAGAAAGCCGGGCCTTTTCTTAATAGAATAAGGAGAGTCTGTCACTGTCTGTTTTTGCAGGGTCCCTTTGTTCAAGTGGAAGAGCTCATGGAAACTTTAAGGAGATGCACACTTCCTGAGAGTAAGTTGCACTCAAGATAAACCCAGACCATTTCTATTTATTATTTGATCTCTCTCGCTGTTTGACATGCTACTGATGTGTTTTCTGTCTGCACAGCTGTCGACGCTGCTGTAGAGCTGATCACTGGTAGACAGCCTGACACAGGAGGGGAGGGCAATGGATCCATGGAGAACCATGCTGTTGCCAAGTCACTCAAGAGGCCTAACGCAGACTCCGACGAGGAGGATGACAAAGGAGCCGTGGCTCCGCCCATACATGACATCTACCGCTCACGTCAGCAGAAAAGGATTCGATAAACTCCGACACACTGAACGCTACAAGAATGTAATCTTAACAGATGGTCCTATGGGATACATGTACATGTCACTGTTTCTGATCCTCAGACAGATAGTTCCTCCGTTGATCTCTGTACAAAAGATAAGCATACATATATACAAACTCACTCACTCACACACACAGACAGACATACAAACGGTATGCTCACCTGTGTGTTCTTGTTTTTGTTCTTTTTTTTTTTTTCTTTTTGTTAACAGTTTTTATTTTTAAAGACTGACCATTATACTGTACAAAATTTTTAACTCAAGCTATGATTTGACACACAGCTCAGTTTTGGCCTTGTGATGTTCCAGTAATGGCAACGTGAAACCAAGCTTCTTCTTTTTTTAGATAACTGGAAGAAACACAGTTCCTTTCAATAAAAGTCCAAAAAAGAATTCAACTGGAGCTGGTCTTTTATTTCACTCCCTAGCTTTCTCTGTGATTGACAGGACATTTCATAAAGAGCCATGCAAGGCCTTCTCATAACCACTAGGGGACAGCAGAGGACTTGATGTGTCTATTATATTCTTGGCATGTTGTCTGACACCACCTGTGGAAAACAACAGAATTATTATAACTGCTTATTTTTATTTCGGTGTCAGGTTTATTCTGCACAGCTTCTGTTTTGAGTATGCTGCAGCTGACTGAGCTCTGGACCTATTACAATCAGTCAATCTTTGTATAGCACCAATTCAGGACAAATGTTATCTGAAGACATGTTACAAAAAAGCAGGTAAAAGACCTTAGTCGTTATATCACAAAGATGAATCCATCATGTGCACATAACACTTAGTGACATTTAACAAAGTGACAGTGTTTTAAGAGGCAGAGATCTTGAGCAGAACCAGACTCATGATGAATAGCCATCTGTCAAAACTCTGCTGGGCTTGAAAAATGGGATAGAGGGAGATGCAGGAAGAAGGATAGGGGCAAAGAGAGGGGAGGGGAGTCTAAAGCATGCCGTCCCCACCAAAGATCCAGAATAACCTACAAGAAAAGATAGCTCAGGAGCTCCCAGGAAAATATGTGGTTAGTAAGTTACATAGTACATGAAGATGTATTTTCTGAAAGGAAACAATTACATTAAACACAACTCGACTAACAAATAATTCTTGCTAGATTGCTATATGCACCATTTGGAAAACTGAAAGTCTATACTCTCGTCTTGTATTTCAGCTTCAGAAGTAGAGACATTTGAGTAAATGGGTTTCTCTTAGAGTTTTACAGAAGGCAATCCTCTGCTTGCTTTTCCTCATTTTACCAGTTTGTGGTGAATTGTGATTCACTGAATACAGTTAAGACAACTTCCTGATAAAAGTCTGTAGATTGTTATATTGAGTGAGACTCAAAGGCAAGTCGTATGTCAGTAACTAAATAAAAACAACAGCAGGACTCAAAAATTCAAGTGCCACTCATTCTCTCTATCTATACCGCTTCCCTTTTCTCAACAAAATATTTAGATGTGAGAGTGTTTGAGCTGGAAACTCTTTAACATGAGCAAAACAATGAATGAGAACCAATTAAAAAAGGGAATCTAAGAGCTATTAGTATCAGCCTTACATCTATTATCATAAATATTAAAGTAAATCTTAGAGCTGCTCAACTTCAACCTCTAATTCACATAATCAGTCCTCTCTGTTTCAGCATCATTACAGGTGCTCATGTTAATATTACACTGAACAATCTACTGTCATACCTAGCTGTTACTGCTAATGCTACACACACAGTCCCCATCATTAGTGACATTGTAGCTTTAAATCTATGTAATTCATTGTTGTTGTTGTTGCTGCTCTGTTTATCTCCATCTCCCTTTCCAAGCCCAGCAGAATGTTGGCAGATGTCTGTGCATCATGAGTCTGGTTCTGCTTTTAAGTCTTGAGATAAGGTTTGTTATGAATGGGCGCTATTCAAATAAAGATCGATTGATAAAAGTAAAATTAGCATCTCAGTGCTTCGAAATTAATATGTGATTTGAAAGAAATACACTGTCTTTTGTTAGTTTACTTGAAGCGTCAGTAGCATTAGCAGTCATGGATTTCTCAGTTGTGCCACTCTGTTAGTAATTGATAAACAGTCATTTTTCATTATTGTATGTCAGTTTTTATTTCCAGAGAACCCTGTGTACGGTCTGTGTGTGGGTCAGGTAAGAGAAACCACACAGTTGTAACACATCTTGTCATATCTCATACTTTAATATTGTGAGTGTTCCGGGGGAATCACAACTTGACATACCAGATGCCGTTTACGCTTTTTTACATCACATTATACATATTTTGAGTCAGCAATGAAAACACAATGAAAGGGAGGACAATTCTGTTAGACTTTTTAAAAAGACCTGGCAAAACCAAACAAAGCAAACAACATGTGTACGGTTAAGAAATAGTCTGGGAATGCTTTCTTTACCGGGAAATGAGCCTCAGCTGATTAGAAGATACACATAGCTCTTAGCATAGATTTTAAAAACAGGACCCTGAAGATGCCACTAGAACGCGGTTAAGGTTTTCCAGTCCGAACAAAGAAAATGTACAAACATCTGTTTTGCTGATTTGTTGCAAAAAACAAAACAAAAAACCACCAGAGGGCTGCAGCTGCCTGTTTATAATAGCACTACATCAGACTTTTAAATGTCCAGGTTCAAATATCCGGTTGAGGGGTCCTCAGACACAGCTCCACTGTGCATCACTCTGTACATGGAAACCACATGGACACACAGATTTGTTATTGCTTACATTGTCTATTGCACAAGCACAAAGAACACAACCATTGAAAACTGTATGCAGACACATAATGCCCACAAGATGCAGAGCAATAAGAAGTTATCATGTTTGTGTCCTGCACCCAAGAAGTTCCTAAGACAAGTAAATATGTCCTTAAATACATTGAAGCTTATTCATTCTTAAATTCACATTCCAGTTCAGTGGTCTAAACATTTTACATCAAAGCACTCTACTTACATTAAAGCACATCATTCACATTCCACCACATCTTGTCCCTACATCTAAATCTCTTTTCATCATGATACATGACATATTAAAAAACAACGTAAATATCACTGTAACAACATGTTGATACTTGACAATCTATTTCCAAAGTACTGAACAAAAATCTCAGGGTGGCCTTTGAAAAACTGTCCCAGCAGCCGTCTCTTCTCCTTAGCCGAGAGTCTCGGGTTCTCATGGACTGCTTGGAGTAAAGACCAGAGCTCCTCTTTCGTGGTTTTCTTTGCATTTTCTGCAAAGTCTTTTGCACTCAGCCTTGTGCAGTACGCTGATCCTGCAGCAAATAAGACACAGAAGTTAAATGAAGAAAGAGCTTTGCCTTTTTATATATTTAAGTGTTTTTGGTGACACAAACAGCTTTTAAAGGTCACATATTATACAAAATACACTTTATCATGTTTCTCTAACACTAATATGTGTCTGTAGTCTGTTTACAAAACCCAGAATTATGAGATAAGTCCATCCTCTCAGTCTTTTGCCTGCTCCACTTTTCAGAAAAAGTGTGCTTAAGCAGGTTGTTTGGAGATTTTCTCTTCATGACATCACAAAGGGCAGTAACCCCTCCCCCAGGTGGGTGACACTCCCACAGCTACGTGTCTGTTCTGCCCTCTGAGTCTGCTAGCTCATCGTGAACAATAGAGCATGGTTCAAGAAAGCCCAAGCCACCCCTTCCAGAGAGGGGGCATGGTCAAACACAGCTCATTTACATATTAAAAGGTACAGACACAGAAACAGCCTGTTCTGAGCAGGGCTGAAATAGAGGGGTTTATAGGCATGATCAAATACAGGAACAGTGTGGATTTTTTAGCTACAAAATTCCAAAACATGTTTTGGAAAGCTCTGAGACTTGTCGAAAAAGGAGGATAATATGTGACCTTTAAATGAATAATGAATGGATGGAAATAAGGGAAATCTGCAAACCTGCTATCGTGTCTGGATCCTTCCCTTTCACAAGATTCATTATTCTGTCACTGACCATCTTGTGCAACGAAACAGGAATCTAGTTGAACGAGAGACAAACATTTAGTAAATGGAATCACTATTTGAATGTTTTTTGTGGCTTTGATTTAAAACAGACAGACTGATTTGAATATGAATTCCCTTTCAAGTTGCATATGATGTCAGATTTGCAGTCCTGCTTCTAAACAGCTCTTGTAAACAGCATTGAATCAACTCAGTGGCTAACAGATGTTTATCATCACATCCCTCTTATAAAACTGGGCTAACACACGTACACAGATGCAAATTGAGTGCACTCACTTTGAAGAGATCACAGTGGTTATCCATCATGAACAGAACCATGAAGTCCACCTTTCCTTTGGAGAGTCGACCACTATAGACAATGGCACTCGAAAAAGACCTTTTCACCGCCATCCTGTTCTCGATCTGAGCAGAGAATTATTGTGAGTTAACTCGCATCAAACAAACACATGCAGATTCACGCAAAATGCGCACACATGCTCACCTCTTTGTGCAGTTTGACCTCCAGTGGTTTTGCTGCGATGGCCATGAATCTTAATAGTCTGCGCAGCTCCTCCCTGCTGCGAGAGTCCTGCAGCTTCAGGCTCAGCTGCAGGGCCTCCAGAGCCTGCTCTTGTTTACCGTTCACTGGTACAGACAATAGAAAGGAGGGAAAACATTTTATAGCTTTCAATCAAAGCCTTGATGACTTGACGTAATGCAACAAAAGAGATTTGGGATGGCCTCTTCTTACCGAGTAGCTCTGAGATGCCTGAGTGGATGTCGAACACGTGGTTGCTGAGCAGAGGTGGCTGCTGTGTGCGTCCGTAATGCTGAGCCAGGACCTCATAGAGCAGTCTCTTACACTGCAGCAGGTCCTCAGAACAACCAGCAAGACCTCGACTGACCTCCACCACCAGCTCATCAGGCAGAAACTCCAGGCAGTCCACTGCGCCTGACATCCACTCGTCAGCCCTAAGGGAGAGGGGAGAGGAATTATTTTAAAACACGGCAAAAAGATTGAGAAAAGTGGAGCAACAGAGAGATATGAATAAGGTCAGGCCAGCATTTGACCTTCAGTGGTCTTAAAAATGGACAGTGAGCATGAATTTGGAGATTAAAACCGGAAAAAAAGCTTCTTTTTATTTTTAGGTTACAGTTATGTGAGGAACCTCAGCTTTGTGTTGATTGTATGCGCACCCTGTGGATGAAGCAGTTTTGCTTTTTGGATTTGTCCTGTATGTGAAAATAGTGTTTTTAAAAAAAAAAGAAAAATCATCCTGTAGTCTTGTAACAGACATAATGCATCATGCATGGTGAATCTTTGCCCTGGAAAATTTAAGAAAAAGCTGTTTAGGCATTCATTGTGCTGTTAATCTCGACGCTTGACATAAAACCTGCAGCAGCGTTTACAGCCATTAAAAACAAGACAATAGAAAGAGAAAAACTCCTTACAGGTGCTTCAAATATAACATGCCCCCAGAGGCGCTGCTTGTCATCCGCCTGGGGCCCCAGACCAGTAGAGGGCCCCTGAGGGCTCACAAACCTAAACCGAAGCAGTGACGCAAATTTTGCAAAGACCGTAGGAAACCTCCCTAAGGGGGTGCCATATGACAGCAGTCACTCTCATAGCCCACTTAAGCATTGCACACAGTATTATGAAAGTCAACAAAGAAAGATTAAGAAGAACTTTCCATCTGTAGGAGAGAGAAAAAAGAAACAGGAAAAAAAGAGGAAGAGGAGTAAGAGTCGGGACAGTGGCAGACATGATGGTGATGAACGCTGGTTAGAGGGACCCCCAATTGATTTTTGCATAGGGCCCCAAAATACTCTAGAATCGCCACCGCCTGCCCCCTAGCCCTTGCCAATGTCACAAAACTTTAATATTATGATGATGATTATTAATATTATGTTTAGTTTTGGTGTAATGAGCTTAACCTTTTACGGCTGGGTAGTTATGTCTACATTGGAAAAGTCTGTCACATGCCTTTTTGTGTAAAATTGTTACCTCACTGTAACTATTTAAATTACATCAAGTTAGGCAAATACAAGAAATCTAATTACATGTGTGGCTTAAAAGCAGCTGATAAAGACTTCAAAAATCCCAGAGTTGAAACAGAAAATGAACTTTAGGAGTCTTTAAATGTGTAATGATTCAGGGGGCTTACTGTGCTTCACTGAAGGCTTTGAGGACCTCTCTGTCCAGGTAGCTTGACGTGTACAGCAGGTCCGGGTCGCTGTCCATACCGTGAAGAGGAGGCCGCGATGCGTGTTTACCCTCTAACAAGTTCTCCAGCAGGGGGAGCTCTATCAACTGCAGCAGCCTGAAGACAGCTTGCTGGTGCCACACCTCATCTACAACTGGGGAAAACATGTACTATAAGTGTCACAGGTACATATGCACAGACATATAGTGCTGATCTAGTGCTTCAAAAAACACATTGCAGATTTGACGTCATTGGACTTACTCTCTTGTGAGAGGCCGAGGTTGATCATCTGAGGGGTGATGGTCGAGCTCATGTTGAGGTTTCCGAGTACCTCCTCCAATGATTTATCCGTTTTCACAGGGGAGTGAGTGGAGTAGCTCAGCACCTCTTGTCTGAAGAGTCATATAATAACAGCAATCAGTGAAAGTGATTGTAGAGGGGGGGGGGGGCTGGCGGCACACAGACAAATGACATGAACAAATGTGGCATCGGGCAACAAATGTTTTCCAGTAGCTGTTATTCAGTCACAATTTGGTGCAGTCTGAAGGCTATTCAGTTTTTTTTCATATTAAGCGGACAAAGGAAATGCCCAGTTTCTAGATTATTAACTGCATCCCATAAAGACTTGATTTAACCCATGCTGCAAATCACAAAGAGGACTACACCCCCTTTGCTTTGTTTAAACTCCATGCTGTAAATGAAAAGAAAGCCTTATTTATCCAGTAAAGAGCGCATGTTTTCTCTGCGTCTTTCATCTCTCATTAGGGACGTCAGGGCTGTTCTGTGATCTGGTCTGGTCTGGAGTAAATCGTTATCAAAAAGACAAAGTGGTAAGGCCATGTGTTAGCACCACATGCATCACATCCGTCTTTGTTGTTAACTCCCAGCCTACCTAAATCTAATTCAACATCCTCAAAGTAAAGCAGAATCAACTGAGTTTAAAGGAACAGTTACCATGATTTGTTTCAGGCAAAGAATTAGATGAATTATTTTTGTAGACATTAGCATCCAATTAGCATTGATTAGCCAAAAAAGACCAGAGACAGGAGGAAATAGCTAGCCTTCTCTATCATAAATTGTGATACCAATCATCTGTGAAGCTCACTTTTTACATTCTGCTGGTTTAAATATACAATAACTATAAAATGACACCTTGTGGTTAAACATTTTAAAACTAGGATTTACATTATGTGTCTAACTACTTCTTGGTTGAGCTTTGGAACTTTTGTAGTTATTGTCATGGTAACCAAAAGGAAGGCAGAGCCAAGCTAGCTTTCCCCCCATTTTTAGTTTGAAGTCTAGTCAAGTTTGGATATTACAGACCATAGGAATGTATAAAAGGAAGAATGGCACACCCGCTCCTCTAAAGTGAAACCAAAGCCTTTTGTGCATGTCCTGGTTTCAAATGATGTCACCAATATTTCAGCAACCATTTATGTACAAGCAAAGAGGGGTATAGTTGATCATGCATCTTTATAAACAGTCAATGGTTAGGACATGAATGTGGTTTTAAAGCTGCAGGAAAACAAATATAAATGTTTTGTAGCAAGTATATCAGTGTGTTTGTCTGATCCATCTGTCTTTCAATATCACTTCTTGACTCTGAAATGTCATTTTGTACTTTATACTTTTGGATAATAAGAAAGTTTCTGGAAATCCAGAACATAAAGACATGACTGCACAATTGGACTTCAAGAGTCTCAGGTCACGCCTCACTAGTTATCACAGACGCTGGATTTGGGATAAGCTCAGGAGGAAGGAGAACAAAGCTACTCAAAAGTGAGATCGGAAGACGTTGTGACACCAATCTGTACCTTTCATGTGACGGAGTGTAGCTGTTCTTGTTCCTGTTAATGCTCGGCGAGTCATAGCCGCTCTCAATGGTACTGGTGGAGTGAGAGTTGGTGTTTGCTAGTGATGGAGAGGAGCTGGTCGCAGGATTTAGGAACCTGTACAAACTGAAACAACTGTCCTCAAATGTAGCTCGTTTCTTCTCCTTCCCAAAGACTTTGACGCCCACCGGCTCAAACACCCTAGAGTCCATCAGGGCCTGGCAGAGACGAACAGCTTTGAAGCGCGGTACCACCTCTTCACCGAAGAAACGGCTGAGGGCGATGTGGGCCAACACCACGTCCACGGCATCGGAGCCCAGAAAGCAATCATGGTAGGACTTCAGTTTATGGCGCCGCCGCTTGACCTCCACTTGAGTGTGGAGGTTGGAGATGATGCTGCCCCAGATGTAGGTGGCCCGGAAAGGCTTCCCAGCCATGCCTGCTTCTGACAGAGGAAGAGAGAAACAATGAGTGGAAGGATAAATAGGGGAGGGGGGGGGGAGAGATAATCAGACTATAAGAGCTGAAGAAGATGGCAGTTTTCTGGCACTTGATAGACAATCTTTTAATCAATTGATGAGATAAATAATGCACCCAATTATATAAATATATTATGTATATACAGATGCAGATGAAATAAAACCTCAACTCATTTCAAGTTATTTTGTGTGGGTGTTACGGCACATGGTCCAGAATGAACCCATCTCATGGGGGAAGTAGCCCAACCCAAAATCCTTGTTTGACGCAGGCTATTGTACAAAGTGCAGCCGCTTGTTTATTAACAGATCATTAAAAACTGAGAATCTAGACCTGCAGTCAGGCAGTAAAGGTTAAATACAAAGTCAAAACATGACTTTTCTCTGATTTTCTTACCACAAGAGACATCCAATCATAATCTGTCTACCCTATCCGGCACACTTATTCACACACGGATACAGAGACAATGATCATATTGTAAGCCTCCTCCCACAAGAGATACCGTGATATGTTCCTGCTGTATTTTCCACTTCATCGGCTGCATTGCAATGAAAACATGCACAAAATCCGAAAATTATAAACGTAATCCAACACTGAACATGTCCAAAAGTACATGATGCAATTCCTCAAACTCTTCCTGTCTATGTTTGACAGGAACCACAGATAGAAAATGATTTGTGTCATCCAACAAAAGCCAGACCAGTGAACGACAGCAGAGCTGGGCATGGTGAGATGTTAGACCTGCTTTCATCTCGCAACAGGAAACCTATAAAGCTTGTTGAGCAAATGTTAAAGGGGGGCTGGGGGGTTCTGAGAGACCATGGGCCATATATCAGGCGCTGTCAGCAGCAGCCTGGCTCCATGTTATGATAACACATCAGGACAAATACTTTTACTGACCCATCTGTGAAACTTGACAACAAAAACACTCAGGAAAGGTACCACGGCGAGCAAATGTTCAACCCCTTCTCAAAAACAAATACAACAGCTCATGCCTCGTGGAGCAAAGAGGAAGGACTGTGGAAGATTTATCTGTGATCAGCTGATTAATGAGATCCTTCTGCATCAAACTGTGTCTCCCTCGGGGGAGGAAACTGTCCTCAACTGGGTATTTGCATATATATAGGCCTAAGGGAAGAACAACTTGTGCTTCAAGAGATGGATAAGAAAAAACCACGCTAGCCGCAGTTTGCAAGTATGATATGAAAACTAATGGAAAAGAGTCAGAAAAGTTATTCTTTGCTTAAAGAAGTATTAACAGAGATCTTTACTGTCGATGTGAGGAGAAGTCTTTCTTCACAAATGGTAGTTAATGATAGACTACAATTGTATAGAATACAATTGTGAGGATTGCAGGAACAAAGGACTTTTTGGTCTGCATTATCTGAGTGTCATAGCTTATAGGAGTTAATACAGCGCCATCTGGAGAATCCCATCAGGGGTCTCCGGATTACCAGTCACACAGTAAATCCGGATCTAATCAATATCCATTAATGCTCGTTAAAAAAAGCAAAAAAAAGAGATGGAGGTCTGGTGTAGGTCGAAACAATCCTGGGAACCCGGCTGTGTTCTGTCACTGAGATTTAAGCTCAGTTAGTATAGCCGACGTCACACTTCTTTCCTGGTGACTTTGGTCCTCTTTTCTTTTTTTTTTTTTCTGCAATCGGCTAATTCCCATCAGACAGACTGTGGTATACAACAGGGGCTGTGGTCTGTGTTACAGCCATTGACAACAGTACAGCGTGTGTTTGCACACATCAGTGGAGGTAAATAATCGCAGGGGGACCAGAGCAGTCAACACAAGAGGATCCTTCTCCTGGGGTTAACATCACTGTCTGTAATGTCACTAATAAGATACAGAAAAAAAATATTAAAGGCCTATCGAGTCTGTTTTTTAAACTATCAAGTAGCAACAATGAGACTGGCAGATGAGAAGCAGCAGGTTATAGACCGCGCAGATACCTTCATTCCTCTAACATGCTGAGACCAGAGAGATGAACTGATGGAGCCTCAGGACACATTGTGAATAAGGAGGGCATGGCCCGTATAGATTTGAACCCCCACATCCTCATATAGAATATGCAGGTCAGTAAACGGAATGACCCCCTTCCATCTGTGTTTTAACACAAACACTGCAGGCTGCTGAGTCTGCACCAATCACAATGTCACAAGAAGACAACACAACCGGTTTTAAGTCTATCATTCATAGCATTTGAACCATTTATCAAACGACAATAAAGCAAAAAGTAACTTTAACACAAGCCTATATCATTATAACACCATAGTCTCCTTTCTGACTTTTAGCCTACACACTTAAAACTTTACAGAAAACTCAGAAGGGACTATTAAATAACAAAAGCGAAATAAATAGCCTATGCTGAACATATTTTAGAAATATTGGATTTCGATTAAAAACAGCATTCACTTTACAGAAAAATGATTATTAGGCTGTAAACCGAACAAATAGACTTCAAGAACTGTGCGTACAATGCATGACAACCTATTAAAGTATCCTATGTTAAATGTCTGTTTATAAACTAAGCTTTTAGTCAAATCTATGTTTAACAAGGCTATAGACTGTAAGTAGCCTAAATGTAATTTCTGAAACTTTCCCATCTCAACACGACAGGTTAGACACCAAATAAAACGAAATCTTCAGGTAGCCTCAAACACAACATAAAAAACTATCAACACAAACATATAGAATAAACTTGATCACAAACAAGTGATTCAAAGTGTATTACCTGGAGTTCGTTGTAGTAAAACTTCCTCCAGTGACTAGAGACAGCCATCCAGACCTCGTCCTTGGTCTTCAATTCACAACGTGACGCACGCAGCTAAAAGGAGTCGAGCCCGAAACCGTCCCCTCCCACTGCCGCACATTATTCATGTCCAAATCAGCGCCCTGCCCGGCCATTAACGCCTTAGAGAGGCTCAAAGAGTCCCTCATGTTTATCAAAAGGAACTCTTAAGTCACTTATTCCTACATGGGGGGACAACTTCCTAAACTGAAACTGTCAATTTGAAGAAGAGAAATACTAGTACAACTGAAGGTTTCGTCATGGTGTCCCAAATGATTTAAAAAAAAAAAATCAGCCATGGTAATTAATTGCTATTTCCTGATAAAGCAATTTCTTTAGAATGTAACCTTTACAAATATTTAACTTTAAAAGTGAAAAATGAACAATCAAATGAAATGCCAGAAACGTTTTCACACAGCTTTTAAGACTGTCAGTATAACCTACATCTGATCAGAGACAGATATGATAAGAAAAGAGAAGAAGGATGTTTGGAGGATGTTTAACTAGAGGATTAATGAACATAACAAATTGAGAATAGTTTCCCTGTCTCTGTCAAAACAACACGCGTCATAATGAAACATGTGACTGCTCCACCTTAGTTAGGATCCATATACACAAACAGTCATCTACTTAAATGACACAAACAAATATGTACACACACCTCAGAGTAAACACACCTGAGCTGTAGTTGAGACAGATTTCACGGATGAGCTGAGGCTCTAACCTGGTGCCTCCTTTCTTCAGGTGTAATCTGACAATGGAAAAGCAGTAAGAAGACACTGCAAAGCCAAAGTTGGTCACTCGCTGAGAGGGAGACTGACAGGAAGACAGGTGTTATCATTGCAAGAGACAAGCATGGTGCAATGGGTGAGGCGTCCAACTAGTGCAAACCGGTTTGATTACTGTTGTCCTCACCTCTTTTATGCAGAAACGTGTTTTTTTTACACAAGGAAGTAAGAATGCATCTGGGTTAAAAGAGGGAGGGGGGTGGTTTGACATCCTTAGTTTGCATTCCAAAACAAAGACGAGGACATATACTATACAGACACATCATACTGTTACAATGCTCTTGAGCAAGGCAGGATGCTGCGAGGAGACAATGCGGGTTACTTTTTTTGGGGACACGTAATTTCACGTTTAGCTTACTCATTTTGTCCTGCAATATGCTTCAAGTAGTACAAGGAAACATTGCTATATTAGCACCGAATAAAGTTCCTGGGATTGTACTTTAGAAAAGGACAGGAACTTCTTAGTCAAACATCACCTTATATGAGGATTGCAGGACTTCAGCCCTTTGTCAAAACACAGACAATGGTGAGCTGCAAAGAAGTTTCCTGTGACAAAAAAGTCTGAGCTACTTTTGGTGCTTGAGTAGAACCACTGGAAATGTAGGATCCCAATGCTGTTGTAGCTTGATGCAATCTAAGGAAAAAGAGAGGATATCTCTGCAACATGACTTTTGATCATTCTTATTTTCTGTTCTGTCTTCTGTGAGTACACCAACTTTATGGAAATGCAAAACTCAATTGAGTGACATCCCCTGTGGGAAAAAGACTGTGTTCTCCCACAGCTTTAGTGGAGAAAATGCTGACGAATAATAAGAGTTGTGCTTGGTAAAGTTTTGGGCATTATGTGCAAAATTACGTGATACAACACATGCATTTTATCTTGTTTGCATTCAGTCACATATCCCACTCTTAACCCGGTTTACAGAAGACTCTGTTAAACAATAACTCCTGACATTGTCACCGCAATAAATCACAAGAGTTTTTTAGTCAGACATAATGCTTCCGAACAGACTCTGAGAACTGAATTCATAGAAGCGCAGGACCATTGCCTGTAGCCTTAACATGTTGCATGTGTGTATAAACTCACATTTAGTTGCCGCGTGAATAATGTATTTTTTTATTATTTATAAAGCTGCAGTGTCCAAACAGAGGAAATCCACTCCTTAACTTAAGGCAACTCGTGGGCCAAACAGGTTCTACAACTCAAATGATGAATGTGTTTCGACTTCATGTGCTGGTATTTAGTAAACCTGCAACAAAGCTGACTCTAAAGTGCTGTGAAGTGAAAAGTGGTTTACACCAACACAGAGGGAAGAGAGAGAGAGAGAGAGAGAGAGAGAGAGAGAGAGAGAGAGAGAGAGAACCCTGGTTAATACAATCAGAAACTCTATCCACAAGGTCAAAGCAATATTTACTCTCCTCGTTCTCCTCGTTTGCCCTGAGCGCCCAGCATATTTCATTTTCTTTCCTCCTATCTGTCATGCAATGTTAGTCATTTGTTTGACTTACAGTTCTAACTATGGCAAATACTCAAAGAGATTTTTTTCTAGGGCGTGACATTGCAAATAAGAAAAATCTACCATGCCAGTTTCTGGATCCAGTGTGACCTGGAAAATAATGAAGAAAGTGTTGAGACATTACAGTGGACCTGTTGATGATCCTTTTCTAAAACTGTCACATGAACACCAGAGTTATGAACTCAAATCCATCAATAAAGTAAAAAAGTCAATCATTGATTGATTGTATAGCACCAATTTATTACAACTATTATCTCGAGACACATTACAAGGAGCAGGTAAAAGACCTTACTCATTGTTATATTACAGAGACCCAACGTAAATGCATCATGAGCACTAAGTAATATTTGGCAAAGTTACATCGGCAAGAAAAAAAAAATCTTAACAGGCAGAAACCTTGGGCAAAACCAGGCTCATGACGAACAGCCATCTGCAGAAACTGAGCTGGGCTTGAAAAGTGGGACAGAGATAGAAGAAGAAGGAAAGGGACAAACGGGGGAAAGTGGTTTGGTAGCAGTAGGCCGTCCCCACTAACGATCCAGAGGAACCTAAAGGACACGAGAGCTCAGGAGTGGTTAGTGATTTATATAGCACATATACAGGTGAAGCATACAGATTTACAGGTAGTGACATGCAGTTATATGATGTGAATGCACAGAGAGAGAGAGAGAGAGAGAGAGAGAGAGAGAGAGAGAGAGAGAGAGAGAGAGAGAGAGAGAGAGAGAGAGAGAGAGAGAGAGAGAGAGAGAGAGAGAGATGAGAGCTGAAGTTGCCAGTTGTGTTAAAGTGCCCCCAGCAGTCTAAAGCTCATAGCAGCATAACTAGGAGCTGGTCCATACCTGCGCCAGCTCCACCTATTTTTGCAACTTGCGCTGTATTTTATTCTAAAAGACAAAAACTGTTTTGTTTACCCTACTACATTTGAGCTCTAGTTTCTAGATACTCAAATGACTATGATACTAAGCCTTAGAATAAATTAGTCAACAAAGCTTTAAAGTCGTTCTCCTTGGAACACCTACAGCTGTAACATACTCAGTATTGCATTATTATATATTATATAGAGTAATGAGTATTTTTGCTGACTGTTGTACGTATTTTTATTCACGTAAAGGATTTGTTTTAGCTCTCCTGTCACTGCTGATGTATGAATGTGTATTTGGTTAAGGTGGAGGTAGATTGAACTGTTATCTAACTGGATATGAGTCCAGTGGATCGCCTATTAGGGATCAATCTCCATTTTAGCTGTCACGACAAAAATCCAGTAAGCAAAGAAAATGTTTGAAGACACAAATCTTTATCTTTATTTGTAAAAAATTTTTTGACACATTGACTTAAAATGATCCAAAACCTTGAGAGAAGTTAAGCTATAAGAAGCTACATCTAGATAGCCTACTGCTATTTTGAAAAAGATCACACACCCCAGTTATAATAAAAAGTAACTGGTTTCCTTTTTATGATTGTTTTAAGACTGTTGTAAAACTAAAGAAAAATAAACACACATGTGATGATTGAAAGGACAGCTCAAGAGTAGATTTACTCAGTTACATATTTTCAGCTTTTAGACAGAGTGTAAATCTGCAACTTGTCTTCCCTTCTGTCTTCTACTGTGTATTCAGCGAATGTGTGACTGGTCAAAACATCTTTTAAACTACACCACTAACACACAGCACATCATGTTTTACTACAGAACCAATAAACAGTCTGTGTTTTCAAATCTTATCCAACATCCAGCCATCCATTTAACTCTGCCTGTTCTGTTATTCTCACGCTGCCTCAAGGGTCCTCTCAGTCTGTCTCCCACATTATGGAACAATACCATGCATTAATATTCATGTGCTTTTCATCTGGACAGCAGACATTCAGTATCTGTGTCTTACAGTCGTGCCCGTGCTGGAATCCCAAACGCTTGCATGACAGGCCGTCCTCCGCCAACTCCAAAGGACAGAGGACAGTGGCTTTCCTCACAGAGCCGTCCATGCAGCACAGAGACACTATTGTTTTTAGGGGGGTTGCCAGTAATTTTCGCATTGTGGCCGAAGCTACTGGGCAATCATATTTTATTCAACAGGCCAAAGAGCCTCTCGGACGACACAGAGTCAGCCACCCCTTCACAGTGAATAGTTTGGTCATGAGAGCATGGTGGGCGAGCAGTGCCACAAGTTTCGCGCCCTGAAACACTCTATGGGAATAAGAGCCTCCAACAGGCAGGTGACGTTTAACTGACCCCTGACATGTTGGAAACATATTTTTTAGTTAGGCAACTTGGTTAAGACAAGAAACAATGCTGTGGTAAGAAGTCAGGAAGGAATGTGACAGTGGTGACTAAACTTTCTTGTGATGGCTGGAGTCACTTCTGAAGCTTTTTAAGGTTTTTTGGAGTCGGGGGAAAAAAAATCATCTGCACTTATCTCACTCTGGCCCACGACTCTTCCTTTTAATGTACAAGCCAGCTGCTAACAGACTCTGAAATAACACAGAGAACAAACTCAGCAGATCCTGTGTGATGGAGAAAATCTTAAAAAATAAAATGATTAAAGTGTGTGTTCATATTCTGCAACACTGCCTTTCTGGTGAAAGTATTTCAGATGATTCTCTGACATCTGTAGACCGTACTCAGTATCTCCAGTTCAAACTTTTTTTTATCTTTCTAACTTTTACCACAAAGGCCGTCGACGCTTTAAAGGTATTTGTGTCCTAAGAGCCCTGGTTTACGTTGTCAGGGACTGAGTCATGTTTATAAATGTGAGATTTGATGTTGTTTAAGCATGCTACAGGAAGCCAGCTCTATATCGAAACGTAAGCGGTTAGTGCTACTACAGCAGGGGTCATCAAC